AACTTCACGTAGGCACCTGTCCAGATCCTTACATCCGGCTTACAACGGCGGCTATCTCATCAGACTCTGCTCCCACCAGGTCCTGTGAGTCCCAGCTTCCTTGGATCAACTCATTGACGCCACCACCAAGCCCACGATAACCAGTCTCTCCTCAGACATGCTTGACGATTGAGCCAGTTACCGGGCTGGCCGGCGCCTGCAGACACGAGTGGGCGCGTCGCCGGAAGACTGGGTGGAGGGCGGGGCACTCGCGGCGGCGGGCCCCGGGACGACCGCTCGCGACACATCCGGCGAAATGAAGCATTTCCTGCGGAATACCGGTTCTGAAATCTACGAAGACTGCAAGCCGTAAACACGCCCTTGTTGGCTCGAACACTGGCCATGCGACACTCCAGAATGCTATTGAACGGAACATGTTTTGATTATCTAGGACGATCTATGGCTAGCGCGTGTGGATAGAACCCGATAGCACATCAGGATAGAACTTCATCTTTCGGCCCGCCCCTATGTACGCGTGCACGATTTCAGACCTTCCTTGCGGGCGTCTGGCATACACCGACGCCTGGGGCGCGCACTTGGCATCTAGCGGGTCACACTTACCCGTTTTCGGGGGTAGAGTGTGTGTGTGTAGGGGGGGGGGGGGGGCTCATGAGGGCCTTAGGCGATCACCGGTTTTCGCCCACCGCCTGGCGCCACAAAACCCACCCGGGACAGGGTTACATGGCCACGGTGTAAACACATGCACACGGACTGGTGGGGCGGCCGACTCGTCCGTAATAACGGTGTTCAGGACTGTCGCCATATTCCACAATACTTCCACAGGCGGAAGTATTGTGGAATTCCACAGGCCTTGTTCGGCTCTGCTCGCATGACGACTCGACTGTTGTCTTGTCTGGAGGTGCGATCTTCAGCCTTGTTGGGCCCCGCCCGCATGACGACTCGATTGTTGTCTTGTGGGAGGTGCGATCCGCAGCCGTGTTTGGCTCCGCCCGCATGACGACTCGACTGTTGTCTTGTCTGGAGGTGCGATCTTCAGCCTTGTTGGGCCCCGCCCGCATGACGACTCGATTGTTGTCTTGTGGGGAGGTGCGATCTTCAGCCTTGTTCGGCCCCGCCCGCATGACGACCCGACTGTTGTCTTGCGGGGAGGTGCGATCTGTAGCCTTATTCGGCTCCGCCCGCATGACGACTCGACCTTCGGCTCGAGCCGACGTCGGAGAGTCGAGCGTCGGCAGTTCTCGAACCCGTCATTAGGTCACACACACCTACATCCTACCCATTGATGAGGTTTTTGCCGCTCCATCAAAACAGTAGCCTTCTCTTTAAACAGTGTGACACTTTTGACAAAAAACTTTTTTGCAGAACATCCAATGCGTGTGGGCTTTAGCTATCGGAACTGCTCCAAGAGACGCATTGCAAACCGATTTCACAAACGTACAAAGCAACCAGTTCCAACGTCATGAAAACTTAAAATTTTCAGACAAATGGTGACGGTTTGGCACATATTGCTCCAAGGATTATGAACAACATTTTAGAGCGGACTTCTTTCAGAGATATGTAGTAAACATAACATTTTACGGCTGTTAAGCGCTTTTTAAAACTACCATCGTTTTGAATTTTGTATCATTGCGGGAGCCATCGGCTTTCCAGTTCTTGTTAGATATCCGATTTTGCTGTATTTTGTGTAATTCGTTGTCCGTTTTTGATTCTGTGGACATACATATTTTCGCATTAATTCGCAAGTTATCGAGGTCCTCAACCAACTCCATACCAATTAACCCCGCATCGTGTCCTCCCTACCCACAATGGATAACTCCCGCATCAGACGCAGACTACTTCCAGAGAGACAGTGGATACCGTCCCGGACACGGCACACAACGGCACATGCCAATAAACACATAGAAGAGAAGCTCAAAACCAACGGCACCTATCCATTCACTCTTGGGTCTGTGGCACGGAGATCAGACAAGAGTTGTTCCAGCTGAGAAAAACTTATCTGGACGAAGGCGCACACCAAGATGGCTCCGACAAGATGTAGAGCTGCCAGGAAGATCCTGACTTTGAGCTCCAGTTGGGTCGCAGCAGGCGGCGGTCAGTACTAGCGATGCTACCTGACGGCGTCCTCGACTCGGTAGAAGTCACGTGACCGACTTATTACCGCGGGTCTCCAGCTGAGCGGTTTGGCCACTTACTTCTTCTGTTATAAAGTCAACTGTTGCCGAATCGAACTGATTCTAGTGAGCAGGAAAACCTGCAAACGCAGACGACATGTCAATCAAAACCGCGTGACTCAAGAACGGCGACAGAAATTTGGAAGCGTATATCCACTGACAAGAAGGCCATTGTATCGCACAGATGATGCACAAAGGCGGAACTGGAAAGTTTCAGGGACTTGCCGTTGCGTTTTCTGAGCTGATAACCTATCAAGAAGGTAAGCTTTTGGGCGCTCCTGAGATCGAGAACTCCACGGGAGAAGTACAGCTTAGCGCATCCATGATGTTCGTTAAAGACTGGGGTCACACCTCGGCAGACAGAACACTGGTGTTCGACACCACCGCCAGCAATGCTGCCCGAACACCAGGTGCTGCCACTGAAGTGAAGCTGACTGCTTATTCTAGCTCACCTGGAAACATCACGTGGCGGTGAGTGAAATGCGAAGCATTTTTCCATGGATACGTTTAGTTTGAATGCATTCGTGTCGAGATTCATTCATGCTTCAGTAACAGAGCGCAGCTTCGAAAAATTAGTGGTGAGGTTTGAAGATGGTTAGTACGTCTCAAATTGCTCTCAAGTTAAACACATAATCTTAACAGTTTTGACTCAGTGTTCTATCACAGATTGAAGCGGGGTGGAAAAGGGAGCGTCACCTACCGAGCACCCATCCTCAAATTGCTTCGTTTCACAGAAGATCATCATCTCCGTTCTCAACAGGTATCTAGGGCGATCAATGGGAAGACAAGTGGTCCCGTCCCGACAGAGAATCATCGCTTTCTCCAGGGACAACTGGCGTGAAATTGATACACTGAGTTTCGCTGCGTGGGCATTGGTGATACAAGCTCAATCCTGAAAAATGCTGCCGGCAACACCACCGCTCAACTTTCGTGGCGCAGAAAATATTCCCGAGATAACTACCGGGAGCTTGCAGACCTGAATCTATCCATGCAAGGCCGCAGCAACCGCTATGACATGCATGACCCAGGAGCCCACTGCGATGCACGATGGGCTAGCACCAGTGCTCTGCTCCTTCAGGCGGCCGGCGCCAGTGTTACAGGCCTTCAGGCGGCTGGCATGGACTGATCAGTGAGATCCGGAGCAGCATGGTAACCGTGCCGCAGATGGCCCGATGCTGCGGGTTCACGGCGCTCGTGTATGTGCCTCACTGGCTCAAGGTGACGAGCGCCGTCAACATCCCGCAGCAGGACCTGCAGCTGTATGGTAACCTCGGAGACTGCAGAGCACTGGGACAAGGACGTCGCACAGGGCAGCGCAGCGAACCCTCTTTCGGTGCTTCCGGCACATGGTGGCGGGAAACGAGTTCCGCTGCCACCCTGCAGGATGAGGATGAAAGCTGAAGACCTGTCTGCCATGGTGGTAAACCTGTACACCACTGGGAGGCCAGCCTCTTTCTGGCTGGAAAGGTCACGCCGATGGAGAAGCCGGTCTGATGGGTGTGTTAGGGTTCCACGCTTGGCGCGCTTTCGCCATCTTGCGCTTTGATGTAGCCTAGCAAAGCAAGGAGCCCAGGTAGCGGAAATACCACCTTCCTTCCAAAAGCTGAAAACGTTCGCCAAAAACGTGAATAATCCCACAGAAAAGATATCAAACTGCTGAGAGACTTTGGAAGTCTTTTGATTTATCCTCAGGTGCAGTGAATCATGAATACTATTGCATAGCCTTGCATAGAAACCCCTAAGCTGTTAAAACAAGCCCCGAAGACTGCTGGTGCAGCGTGGGGTGAACGTCCTCTCGTCGAAATATTTCCGTCTCACATGTGCCGTGGTCCGTACGTCATCAGTTATGGCTCGCACGCAGGCCGACCGCAGCTGACCTTGTGACCTTTCAGCGACCTTTAACCTTTGAGTGACTTTTCTCGCGCGCGCGCACGTTCTTCTGGAGTAATATGTGACAGTGAATTTGAACTTAGCGTGATTTTGTACCCTCAGACACCCAAAATTTTGATATTTAAAACTCAATTTGGGGAACTACACAAATAGGAACAACGTGCTGACCTCACCTGACCCACAGCCACCGTATCTTAAGTTTTGAATGGCTAGGTAGAACTCGAAATCAGCATTCCTTGTTTCAATGATAGACTGCCCGAAATGGCGAAATTTAGCGTTTTACTTTAGTATAAAAAAACTAGGAGTAAAAGCCTTACAGTGACCGACCTGTAACTTGAACCTTGAGGTGTCGTATGCAGTACCAACAGATCTGTAATTAACTGAGTGGTCCGTCTTAGTATATTGTGGAGCCACGTCAAACCATTTTTGGATAACGTGGCAAGAAATAGGAAATTTTCGAAACCAGCAGAAGCCTTATCTTTGACTTAGGCCCAGAGGTAAACTGAATTTTCAAAACACTGCCTCTGTTCGAAATCACTTGTTGCCTGCAATATCATGCCTGTAATTTCTCTCTCTCTCTTAGATGTTCTGTCCAGGAAAGCTAGGAAAATGCACGGTATTTTCAATAATCTAAAAATATATGTTCTGCCCAGCGTCACCAAGGCTCGTGAGTCCTGCAGGACAGTCTCAGTTCCGGACCCAACACTCTGGCAACACGGCACTCGAGTCCCCAGCGTCGAGACTGCCGACTGCCACGCGATGACTGCGGACTGCGGCACCAGCGCGCCAGTCTGCAGTCTCCGCGGCGCATTTGAGCTGCGCCGGGTGGCTGTCGGCGCCGGGTCGCCTCTGATTGGTCGCGGCGGCGACCGGCCGGCCGCTACTTAAATCTCCGTCCCGGTCCGGGCCGCGTAGTCGTCTCTCCGCAGAGAGCGAGCATCGGCGGGTCCCCAGCCATGGACACGCTCAGCATCATCCTGTTCGCGGTCGTCGCCGCGCTGCACGCGTTCGGCCTCCTGCTGACGCAGAAGCGGAAGCTGGACCCGCTGCGCCTGCTGCGGCCACGGCTGGCCACTGGCGCCGGCCGGCGTCCGCCACGCCCCTGGGGTCTACCTGTCATCGGCAACATGGTTCAGCTCGGCCTCAAGCCCAACCCATACGAGTGCATGACGGACATAAGCCGCCGCCTCGGGGCCGTGTATGCGCTCCGGCTCGGCGGCACCGACGCCCTCGTCGTCAACGACATGGCCAGCATCCGCGAGGTGCTCGTCACCAAGGGCGACCATTTCGACGGCAGGCCCGACTTCCTGCGCTACAACGTGCTGTTCGGAGGCGACAGGGACAACTGTGAGTAGTGGCAGACGCCGGGGGCAGACTGAGCGCGTACCGAAACCTGGGGCACGAGGCGTTGGGCCACCAGAGACGTGCAGAGCCTGGAAGCCTCACGCTTACCAGACACGATTCATCAATGCAAGGATAGTTTTGCTGAACTATTCCTGTTCATTTACTTCTGGTTAATACGCGAGTGAGCCTATCCTTTCCACCGCGCGTCAGCGGGACGCGCTGAAAGTACTGTGTGTGATCACCATGTCCCATTATCCGTAGCAGCTTCCTACCAAGCCGATCAGTTCTACTCCTACCTGTTCGCCACCTGCGCAATTATCTACCGCACTGCAAAATGGGTTTCATTGAGCCCCCCACTGCAATGCAAGACCTGCTCACGGTTTGCCGTGCACGCTAACAGCCCGCGCCCTCCATGGAACTCGGTTACCTCAGGAGGTATGGGTGAACGCGGCGCCCGCTCGCCCACCGGGTCTCGTCTGCGCCCACCACGGCCCCAACTCCTCGAGGCGGCCCTGCGAGCTGACCCCGTTACCCTCCCGAAGGTCAAGTTTACGTTTGTTTACGTTAGACAGTCGCTGCCCCATTGACCGCAACCCGGCAGCTGTAATGGGCCCGCCCGACCTTGGCTCGTCGACTCCGGCTGCAGCGGCGGGTGGAGGCGCTCCCCTTTGCCGGGGGTGCGTCGTGGCCCGATACGAGATCGCTTATTACTGGCGATGCAGGTCCGCCATACGAGGAGCGCCGCCCGCCGGAGCGTGGCGGGATTCCCTCCTGGAGCGTTATGCAACCGTAAGCACCGTCGGTCAGATACTGTTGGATTATGGATTAGCACATACTGCTATGGTGGACAGTCCTGTTCACGTGCAAACAAGTGAAAAACAAACCTGGCGCCTTGATGAGGATTGCACGAATCGCAGACCGTTAGAAATCAGGTCTGGAGATTTGAAGAAAGTGATAAACTTGCCTGAAATCTTTTAGACGGGCAACAAAATGTCACATACCTAGACCTCCTCGGCTTGAACTACAATTTTTTCAGGTGTTAGGATGATGCTTTAGCCACATTACACAGAAAATTAACCGTTTATTAATTAAGCTTTCGAGGGTCATCGCCACGTGGTCGTCCGAAACGTCTTACTATCTCATTTCATCGGCGTCCCATAGCCAGCCAGCAGTGGCCACCGTTCGGTTCCGGAAGCGCCGGTGGTCGAGCACCTGCGGCTCGGCCGGTCCGGCCGCGACGATCCCGTTACACCGGTCTCAGCTGGCCGGTAGAGGACCGGTAGAGGACCGGTAGACGGCTAATGTTCTGAGGCCGGACGGCCCGGCGGCTGGCCTCACTAGGAGTTCAGCCAACACGCGTCAGCTGGGAGGCGCGGCCATTGTGGGGGACTGAAGCACATCCATAAGGCGAAGGGTGTGCGCCGGTTCCCGTCACGTGCAGCACGAAAGAACGTGTGCGTACTTGTGAAATCGAAAGCAGCCAGGCAGCACTCAAAAGCTGCAAATTTGTATTCGTGACCGATATTACTTCTCCAGACTGTGCTCATGTGCCGCAATTGTGTTCTTTTCTCCTCAAACAGTGCATCCCAGCTGCTGTGATAAGGTACTCCACCCTAGCAATGGAATTTGTACCGTCTGCAGCCGGCTGGCAGGCAAACATTTCAGAATACGAATTTTCCCCATACACCTAACAAAAGAGGAATACATTGCACTAGTGGTATATAGTGATATGTGTATGTTCACTATATGAACACACAATATGCAGTTTAGTGGCCTAATGTCATGAAATTGTGAGGCGCTTTCTGCACACAAAAAAGAGTCCCATGCCGTTGTTATGCAGCTTCTTATCTGCCTTCTGAGGAGGAAGGCCTGCCTGATAATGGAAGCCGGTTCCAGCGGAGGGTTTTCCAATGGGAATTGCATCAGTCGTCTCACTTGACAGGCCGCTTTGCGTGTCTCTCGCGCTGTCACCCAGCAGTCGGCTTGTATTTGGGCTACCAGACTAATCACCAGAGTTTAACCCCGTCCCAGCTACCTTGTATTGTTTTTTTCGGTCTACATATCGAAACAACTGCGGAGGAGACAAACCTTGAGTCCGGGGTACCCAAAAAGATCCAAGGCTGCACCAGTACCTTGGCCACTAGCACTAGTAACCACAGGGCACGGCGTCAGATGGCACGCCGGCACGTTCAAATATTTCGGCAGACAACAGACAGCACCTGCAGGCTAACGCTATTCAGACGGTGCCTGGAGGCTAACGCTATGCAGATGGTGCCTGCAGACTAACGCTATACAGACGGTGCCTGCAGGCTAACGCTGTTCAGACGGTGCCTGCAATCTAACGTTATACAGAGGTCGAGCGTTGGGCGATGTCGGCCCCTTTAAGACAATACCGGACGGTGTCTTCACTGACAGCACCTGTTCGTCGAGTGGGGCGGCCGGTGCTGATTTCTGGGAAGGACGTTGCGGTCATTGAGTTCCGCTTCGGCCGGTCCAGTCCGGTCTTCTTCGCGTGTTGCCGGGCTGAGAAAAGTTGACACATGGTTATTCCTGTGTTGGGACTTGGCAAGTTGCAGCAGCATTGCAATTTGCAGTGATCCTGATTCTTGCAGGTCATGCGGAATATACTTCATACACGGCTTGTACGAATAGTGGCACTGATCACGTTATCCCCATATGACTTTCTTGACCATCGTGGACACCTAGCCCGGCCTCAGTCTAATGGGTGGCCTTCTTTTGTTACAGCTCTGGCGCTGTGCGACTGGTCCAAGAAGCAAGTGTCCAGGAGGAACGTGGCTCGCACCTTTATGCACGTCAGGCCGGGCACGGACGTCTTCCAGATGCTCAACGACTCTGTGCTTGCCGAGATGACCACGCTGGAGCAAGCGCTGATCGACGCCAAAGGAGCTCCCATACAGTTCAAGCCACTCATCCAGAATGTCTGCTGCAACATCTTCTCCGACTATCTTTGCTCACGCAAATTCTCCCTGGACGATCCTAAATTCCAGAAACTCGTGCGCAACTTCGACGAAATCTTCTGGGACATCAACCAGGGGTACGCTATGGATTTCATCAGCTGGATGAAGGTGTTCCGTTTGGGCGCACTGAAGAACCTAGAAGACCTTTCTGTGGACATCCGACACTTCATCAACGAGGAGATCATCAGTCATCACAAAGAGAGCTTTGACGTCGAGAATCCCCGGGATTTCGTCGATATGCTTCTCAAACGCATGCAGGTGAGTTTCGCGCCTTGGGTTTCACCGGTTTGAAGCGGTTTCTCATTGTCGTTTAGTCCGCAATGCTAAAGGCATTCAGAGCATGAATGGATGCACGGTTGTGCGCTACATGCGGTTCAGTCAGTACGAAGGGAGACAGCAAATTTAACACTTTCCTATTATCATCTGGTCACCGTCACGTTAGCGCGTGTTGGGTTCTGCACCGCACCGTGCTCCACGCCACCCACCGTAGTGCTGACCGACACGTGCTCCCTGCGCAGGGCGAGGACGGCTCCCACGAGCAGATTTCGGAGGTCACGGCCCTCTACGAGCTGGAGGACTTCATCGGGGGCCACTCGGCTGTCGGCAACATCATCATGCAGACTATCACACAGGTGAGTTCGGTCGCTTTCTCGACGTTCAGTGGAAAATAATCCAACAGTTAGCTGTTAGAAGAAGGCGTTGGGCTGACCACCTTAGTCCTCCATATCCGACTCTCTTTCTCGGTGGCTAGGGCCACTGAATTGTTTCACTTTGTGTTTTGTTTTTACACTACGCGAACCAGTTTTGTTCACCACGTTTCCGCTTAACAAACATATCATCCCGTGCGAAAGGCTGAGTAAAGCTTCAAACAAACCGAGCTCCTTGCAGATCAGTTAGTTCCTGTCAGTCTCTAACCCCCAGTGTTCTCCATAGATCGCGCGCAACCCGGAAGTGATGCGGAAGCTACAGAACGAGCTGGACGACCAAGTGGGCGATCGACAAATCAGCCTGGACGATCGGAGCAGTCTGCCATATACGGAAAGCACGATGTACGAGGCGCTGCGCGTGTGCTCGAGCCCGATCGTTCCACACGTGGCCTCGCGCCACACAACGGTCGGCGGCTTCGACGTCCAGAAGGGCACCATGGTGTTCATCAACAACTACGAGCTGAACATGAGCCCGCAGTTGTGGTCGGACCCGGCCAAATTCGACCCGGCGCGTTTCGTGCGAAACGGCGCCGTAGTGAAGCCGCCACATTTCCTGCCCTTTTCCACCGGGAAGCGCAGCTGCATGGGCTCGAAGCTGCTCACCAACATCACTTTCCTGACGGTGGCCACAGTGCTGTCCAAGTTTGACGTGCTGCTGCCCAATGACGCTCAAAACGTGAGCATGGTGTCTAAGCATATGAAACCCGGTTGTCTTGCTCTACCGGTCGACTCGTTCAGCCTCGTCTTCAAGGAGCGATCCATCGGGGAGGCGGCACGTCCCGCGCCCTAGTGGGAGAAGACGGGGACGGGGGCAGCTGGGAGATGGAGGTCACAGGCACAACCAGGCCTGGTGGCCGCGGCACACACGCCGTGACCGTATCGGGCTTATGTACTCTTCAGACGTGGTTTGTCCCTTGGTTTGTCTCCAGGTCAGGACTGTCATGCGGCCAGGATGTCTATTGTTCGGGAGCCTCTTTCCGACTGAGATGGCTGTGATCTCCGATACTTGATCTCCGTTACGGGGATGCTCTCATGCGTCTGAGCACCGACCGCCTCCCCCCCCCCCCCCCCCTCCAGTTGCATTCCAACAGGTCCTGCGAAGCGCCGTCAAGATTCGGTTTGTGTCAGCCTCCAGCTGTACATATGTATTTATTTTTCAAGTTGGCCATAGTCATGTATCCAGCCAAGGGGCGCACATTTTTCAGGGGTCGCCATTTTCTTATGTCAAAGGCGATTTCAGGTTCTGTGGTGTTTGTAGTAACTCTGGGTAGTACTTAGTACCATAGCTCCCAATGATATTAAGTGTGTGATATTTCTGGATGAATCCATCTGCCTGTTTGCATGCACCAGCGACCGATTTGTGTTTTAGCGACCGATCTGTGGTCAAAAGCGTTATGAATTGATATGGTTGACAATATTGTCTTGAAAACAGCCGGGAGTTTTGCTATCGCTCAGAAAATAGACCGACTTCGCAGGCAAAAATTCTGCTGAAATCCAGGCATACATTTTCATTACCTGCTTGGTGGCGGCCCAGTGTTCACTATGATGTCCACAGATCGTCAGAAGCGCCACTTTTACCAGTTTTAACATGCGTTAATTTGACTGATATCTTGTCGATTGATGCGTCCGGTCAGCTACTGTGTGGATTCGTTATCGTCATTTGCTATTCATATGTTTGGAGTGAATAGATGCTCAGGAGAAATAATGTTTACCACGCGCTGGTCGTGAGTGCGTATCATGAGAGAGCAGTGTATCTCAGATGTTATCCACTGTGTTATTGGTTCAGCGATTGTCTCCGCGCCACATAGTTACGATGATGTGCGCTCCGTTGTTATCTGTACTTATGAAATAAATGCAGTTAGTAATATGTGCGTACTTGATTATTTTCGGCTCATCGGAATTTTAAGACGGGGCATTTCTACGAGGTCATCATGCAATGAATCAGAATTACGACTGTGCACACTCAGCCTCATATCCGTGACTTTATGATTGAAAAGTCCATATGAAAGACGGTTTTCGCGTATATTTTAAAACGGTTGGGATATGTAAGTGTTATAGAGCTTGCTTGTTTTTTTTGTTGTAAACAGCTGACATCGTCTGCGGTATCAATCAGATGTCAAGAGTGGGCGTGTGATTAATAATGGCTGGTATACTGTCCAACTAGTGAAGGTATCACATCGTGACAATTCGAAAAGTAAGTTCGACTCTTCCCCTTACTACTTTTAGAATGATACACAGCTGATCAAGTTCTTATCTATGAAATCACGTCTACATAACAGAGTTTGCATTTTATATTTTGAATTTATTTGTAGGCATTTTTAAGGTTGATTAAACCAATGGGTGTCCAGGCGGGACGGCAAGCACTCTCACCTGCGATCGGTTAAATGCGACGCGCTTGGTTTGGGGGAGGGGGGATAAATTGAGCCCCTGAGATATCAAACAGAACGGAGCTAGTAACACCTAAGTTGCGCTACGTGAACTCGTTGATATCAAGTAACTGGGAATGAATGAGAGGAACTAGCTCGTGCCTGATTCTTTTAGTCAAAAAGTTGGTTATTTTGGCATGGATCTGACATTCAATATTGCCTCAAGGCCAAGCAAATTATTTTCTGTCATGGTTTTAACTGACCAGCCGTCTAAAAGTCATGTGTATGACTTTGAATGACTTTGTATGCAACTCAGTTGCCACATTAAAAGCAAAAAAGATGCCGCAAATTGAGTCGGGTAAAGAAAATCCTACCTTTGCCGGCCTGCACCTCGCATCAAAACCATTGTTTAGTTGTAATTATTTCAAATGAAAAATCGTAGCGTTTTTAAAAAATTCATTTCACGTCGTTGGGTCCCATGTTGAAGTAATTCGTAAATATAACACTGCAAAAGAAACTGGTTATTTCCAGACAGTGATTCGTTTAACTTTTGAATTTGGCGTCATTCGATCAAGAAAATGTCATAAATCAACTCGGCATTGCATATATTTTCTAGAAACGTGTCACCTATATTTCCTTATGTGGGGTCATTGCGTGGCCTAAAATGGCCTGCACTCTAGTTTACCTGCTTTGCTTTTTCCATCTTAGAACATTGATTCAGCTTGCGTGTATATTCAACGGCCATCCTGCGTACCAATCATCACGGGTTATATGTGTGCAAAGCGAGTATGGATGTTGCACGCTTTGACGTCCAGAAGTCACAGCTTTTTATGTCCCGTGAAAAGCCGAGGAAAGCCATCCTTATTTTTCGTGTTCCACGATTAAAGCTTTTTTAAGAAAACCAAATGTGCCGGAATTTTAGGGAGCGTGGGGTCCCATTCTAAAGTCAACGAAAAATAATGCATTTAGACAAAAGCTGATGTTATTTTCCGCCATCTAGGGGTATTTTTTAAACTAGGCTTTTTTTATCAAACAATTGCACCAATCTTATCGGCATCACGTTTTTTTTAACTGTGTCACTTGTACTTGCTTGCGTAAGGCCATCACGTGACCTGACATTACTTGAACTCCGTTCCGTCGTTTTACATTTTCAACCTTTAAAATTTGTTTCATTTGTGCGTATATTTAACTAAAACAGGTTTACCTCGGTCTCGACACGTTAATTTACCCTGCTTGTCCATCATCTCGTGTTATATTTTCAAACGAAGGATGCGGATCTGTTATGCGGTGGCGTTTAGAGGTCACGGGCTTTGATACGCCATAAAAGGCAAAGAGACGCCATTGTTTTCCTTGGCGTGCCACACTTTTCGTGTTCAGATTGCTTCGGTTTGTCGTGTCTCGTGCTGAATTCAATGTGTAATTATGCGCAAACTTTTTAGTTCATACGGAAATTAATATGATCTCTCGATGTTTGGCTCAGAACTATTTTCAATGGCCTTCTGGTATCTACGTACTATATAATTCCGATCGAATGTTGTATAACATGCATCATGTTTGTTGACGAATCTCGGCTGGCTCGTTATGACCTCTGGAGTTCGAACCGCTCAATGCCCTACAAAGGTCTTCACGTATGTTGTCAGCGCAATTTGGGCTTTGGCCTTTGGTACAGGCTTCATGAAAATCAAAGGGGATGTCGATTCATGCTAAATAGAAATATCGAACTGCTGTCAACTTTACACAAGTTTCTAAATATCCGTGACTTTTCAGAGACCAGAAATACTAGAGCAAGGGCGTCACTTCATGGGCTTTCGGAGTGGGCTCAGCTTTCCTCCCAACGCTGACTCGAGCCCTCAGCGTACTGCTCTTATTCCAGTAACGCATGTGAGCGAAAATGGAATGCTGTAACGAAGGGACCTTCTCTTGAAGGGACTGTTCCAAATTTCTGTCGGGTTTTGAATAAAGTGAGTTTGAACGAATCGCCACATGAATGGACAGCAGTTGGCTTTCAACTAGCTTAGCGCGTTAAATGCAGGTCCCAATTACGAACCGCGTTTTGTGATGCCTACGAAATGGAATTGGGCAGCCCTACTAGTCATGACACATGAGCTTGGCAAGCGAGAAACTTAGGTATAGCCCGTGACTGACGATGCAAATGAAAGTATAAAAAGTAAAAAATGAATCAAAACACGCGTATTCAACGATCATCGGGTTTATTACGCGCGCAAAAAATGACAAGCCACCTTGCGCAGGGTTAAAGCACTACAAGTGAGTCAACCCGTCCGCTACAGTGGCAGTTCTGACGCGGCCAGTCTGGCAGCGACTCCGACGTCATACAAGCGTTCAATGGCGTAACAGGAGGACATATTGAGATGCGTATTTGCTTAACAGTGAGAGCTTTTATTTAAGACGGATTTTTGTACTTTAAGGCATATTAGTAGCCACAAGTGAGCTTTTTCCATTACATCTGATGCTTAGCCAAATAACGTTTAGTATGGAACATTCCTTTTAAAGGTCAGGTGACGTCAGAGGGTGGGACCAGCCTTGTTAAACATTGCGGCACTTTAAGCTTCCACCATCAACCAATTAAACACTCTTCCGCTGGGCTTTCACGATCATGTGCAGAGGACAGGGATTACATATTAGGCATTGTTTATCTTGTGCTGCGATCCCAGAAATTTACCCCTGTAAATGACTGGAGCTAAACACTCGAAGGTTTTGTATGGTATGTTCCAGATTGCGAAAAATATTATGGTGGTTTTGACTGACTTTGTGAAGGAATCTTACCATGAGCTCACATCTGAAAGGTCAAGTTGCATCATTACAACAAAGGTGTTTGCAAAGTCTTTTAACCACCAACTCCTGGTTGTCTGAAGGCCGACTGCTTCCAACACGGGAATTTTTGTCTAATCTCCCGGAAACACCAAGATTCGACACCTTCTGGCTTTTATCATCTTTCAACACGTGTTAAAACTTTACTACGCTTTTCATACGGACACTCAGGAGACCTTTTCGGTGACGAGTCTAACGTACTTTGTCCTTTTATTTATCAACAATCTGTTCAGAAGGTCGTAAAAATTACGTTTTTATATAAAGACACATCACGGCAATGTTTTCGGTAAGTTTCTATAGGCTCTTGAACGTATGTGTGAGATCACACCATTTTGCACAAAACCACTGGTCTGCGCGCCGGACCACCTGCAATGGACGCTGAACGACAAACACCCCATTCTAAGGTTTTCCCAAAAATGCAGCTCAAATTTCCTTGAAAGGGCGAGCTCTCTCCACAGAAAAATGTGGGATTGACAGAGTTTTTTAATATCTAGATATCACCGAGAGCACCGAGATAAATATCACTGAGACGCAACTAACCCTCGCACTGACGAAGGATAAAGCGATGTGACCCCTCTTTAACTTTTCTGAGGATTCAAGCTGACACCTTGCTATCTTTGGAATACCTATATCTGCCCCTCAACCAAACTTGAAAGCCCGCACCCTCACGGAATGCACGTGCCCTCAAAAAGGTATTCTTCCCCGTCCGCCGGCCTCATTTTTCACTTCAGGCATGCGTACCAAACCCCAATATCATGAGTATCAAAGCCAGATGTAAGCACCCTTAAGCCATCTTCACCCCCTTTATCTGTTTTGGCATGGCTAACGCTAAGATACCTTATATCAATGCCAAGCACACATACTAAGCGTGATCTTAATATAACTGTCACCACAAAATCCCCATGTCCACCAACATTTACTTCCATACCTCTTTTTTGAAAATTGACACTTAGCGAAACTGTTGAATTGCATTCATTTCAAAGTCTGGAGCGATGACGAATTTTGGAGAGACCGCTGAAGAACCTACGCTTGAAATCTCACTGGCCCCAGGTAAAAATCTACTTTCTCCAAGACAAAATTACCTTGGTTCCTCAGGAGGCTGTTCAAAAGGAATCAACAATCTATTCCTTGAAAGGCAAGAAATCAAACAATCCAACCAGTATACAAATGCAAAAACCAGGGCTGACTAAATTTGCCTGGACTCATATAATGACTACTATCCCAAAGTTGCATACATGTAGGCATGCTTTATGTTAACAAATTTGTGCCATTCAAAGCCCAAAGATAGTAGGTACTTCAAACTACCCAACGTTTCAGTCTCACAGAGAAACACTAGTATATATAGTGCAAAGTGGATGGCCCCAGCTGATGTCGAACTTGTCGTGGAAAGAAGATCCAGAACATTGATTATGGCATCAGGCACAACAACACCATCTCCAGTTCCACACACAGCAGTGTCTACCTAAACGATGGCTGATTTTTCCTACCCGCATCCAGTAACGAGTCCTTAACACGCGCCTGGGTGGGGAATCAAATTGACCCCTCCTCGAAGGTTTTTCCAAAATGGTTTCCGAACGGCGCGGCGCAGCCACACCAAATTTTACATAACTGTTGACAATTTAATAGCGGATCGTTTGGCATCAACAATTTGGATTCACCTTGTAAGGTAGCT